TTTATCATAATAATTTTATTTCCCTAATAATTTCAAAAATCAGTAATAAGCATATTTCTGAATCTGATTCTGATGCTTGCTTTGTCTCTTCAGAGTTTCTTCTTGCTTTTACAATACTTAAAAATTTTTTTTTAATTTAAAGCTGGATACCATGTACTGGGTAACAGGAAATGAGGCAAACAGACCTTCAGTATGAGGCTTTATGTTAATGTGGTTGGTAGCTGGGCTGTGTTTAATGTTTGCTATAGCTATAGGTGCCAAAGGATAGTTTCCTCTAGCATACGTGTGTGGGTGGGTGGGTGGGGGGGTGGGTGTGTATGTGAGTCTTTTTCTTCCTTGTTGTCTTTGGTTTCACTAATAATTCTTTTTTTTTTTTTTTTGACAGGCAGAGTGGACAGTGAGAGAGAGACAGAGAGAAAGGTCTTCCTTTGCCGTTGGTTCACCCTCCAATGGCCGCTGCAGCCAGCGCACTGCGGCCGGCGCACTGCGCTGATCCGAGGGCAGGAGCCAGGTGCTTATCCTGGTCTCCCGTGGGGTGCAGGGCCCAAGCACTTGGGCCATCCTCCACTGCCTTCCTGGGCCACAGCAGAGAGCTGGCGTGGAAGAGGGGCAACCGGGACAGAATCCGGCGCCCCAACTGGGACTAGAACCGGGTGTGCCGGTGCCGCAGGCAGAGGATTAGCCTACTGAGCCGTGGCGCCGGCCACTGATAATTCTTAAATAGTCTGGAGTCCTTGTGACAGGGTAGTAAATCTGGAGGCAGGAAGCATCCTATAACCTGCTGTTAAATCTCAGTCTTTCAGTAAGCTGAGACTCCATGATGTAATCTGCCTAAGTGTGTGTCAAGTTTTTCTTTCTGTGTGTGAGACAAGAAGACTGGAATGGAGTGGAGTTGGCCAACTCTCCTACCCCCATAGTTGGATAAGGCCCTGGCAAAGATTTTCCCTTGGAGTGCATGCCTTTATTATTGAGAATGCTCCAGACATGTTGCAAAACAGTTACTTGTCCTCTTCAGTGACAATAAGCGCTAGGCAAGTTTTCTGCTTCTCACATAAGAATGTAATGGGTTTTCATGAAAGTGGGAAAGTTCCCCTAAGATGAGGCTTGCACTAGTTTCTTACTCTCAAACCATTCTGTACTTCATCTTCAACTATTTATTAAAGTAATTATTTACGTATTTCACCAGCTTAGGGCTTTAGGGTCCTTTGCCTCAGGTGAGCTATCTTCACTGTATTCCTAATCTCCAGATTTCAGGAGGCAGTTTGTCTTGTCACCTTATCTCTTTGACAGATCTCGGAAAAATCATTGATTTTCAGCTTTCTTCTTATGAGGATAGCAGTGGCAAATCCCAAGTTCTATATTTCAGAGATGAAAGTAGAAGCCCACTACTTGTTTTTTCAAATCACTCTATACTTATTGTTTTCTTGGTATATATCATAAGTCAACTAAAATTTCTGAGCAGGTAAAATGGAGTAAAAAAGTGTTGGGGAAAATACCCTCAAATCCAATATAACTATATTACTAAGGTTTAAGATACATACTTCATCATGACACTGTCATGACAGGGCTTGGAGGGAAACCTCAAAAATATACTTCCTGGTACTACAGATCCCAGTGCTTACTTCAGCTTGGAAAAAAAAACCTTGATTTATTACACAAAGTGTTAGAGGCATGGGACAATCTCATCTCTCAGTGGCAAATGCTAATGTTTGTTTGATTTGGGGTTGAAAATGTTTAGACATAATTAAAATAAAGCATTATAAACTGTTGGCATTCTTTTCACCCTTTAAATTATAGAAACAAGATTTTATGACTTTAACCTTCTTACTATATTCTATATTGTTTAAATTTTTTTTACAATAAGCACATATAACTTTTAAATATAAAAACACCACAAAGAAAATTAATCCATTTTGAAAACAAATAAACTGGACAGCATTACTTATTGGGGTTAAAAAGTTAGCTCCAAAATATAAGGTTAAAGATTAGATAAACTAGATAAATTGATACTATTTATTTGACCTACAACATGTACCCAAAATGAATAATAATGAATAATAATATAGATTAATAAAGTCATCTTCCTTGGAGGGTGTTCAGAAGAGCTAACATATGTAATCATATTTATTGCTACTATATTTAAATTTGAAAACACAAATTATATCTGTGATGATGCTTAAAGGGTAAAGTACATACTTAAAAAATACAATCAAAACAAACCCTAATTCCAGGAGAGGCCTTTTGGGGAGTGAACCAGCAGATGGACCACCTTTCTCTCTCTCTCTAGCTCTACCTCTCAAATAAATAAATAAAATCTTAAAAACAAAACAAAACCCTGAGTATCACTCAGATCATTTATAGAGTATAGGTCTTTGTATAGTAAAACTTGCAACACTAAAATAATCATGAATATACAACAAAAGTAGAATGTATTTTAGAGCACCATATCTTCAAAACTTAGAAGCTCAGTAAGTACAGAAAGTGCTCACGTGACAGGAGACATAGAAGAATCAGGAGCACAGCAGCCATGTGGCCACAGCCCCCTCTCTCTCACCTCCAATTAAGGGGGGCCGCTAAGACAAAGGCCCTTGAATGGAATGTCTGTTGAAAATTTAAGTTACGGTTGTCAGTCAACAACAGGAGTCACTGTGCACTTACTCCTCATGTAGGATCTCTGTCCTTAGTGTGCTGTACATTGAGATTTAATGCTATAACTAGTACTCAAACAGTATTTTTCACTTTGTGTTTCTATGTGGGTGCAAACTGTTGAAATTTTTACTTAATGTATACTAAACTGATCTTCTGTATACTAAGAGAAGTGAAAATGAATCTTGATATGAATGGAAGGGGAGAGAGCAGGAAAGGGGAGGGTTGCGGGTGGG